TCTGGGACTGTTTTCATCAGAAGACTTTTGTGAAATAAATCAGGAAATCGAATAATATTTAAAAACTGCCAAGATCTCAACAGTCAATAAAATGGGGTTTTACTCCTGTGGAGGATCAGTTTTCAAAAGACAAGTCTGAGCTCATATTAATGAAGTTCCATTGCATAGTTACTGAAATATCTGCCCACTCATACCATGAAAAAAATCTTCAGGGAATGTGGGAACCTGCCCTCTAATACCTGGGAAAGTGCATTATGGATGTTTGAGAACTAGAGATGACTCCTGGACTTTAGTATTTTTGCTTGTCACTCAATGTTATCAGAAGACCAAGATGCAGCAGAGATGACATCTGCCACAAAATATCCTTAATAATAAGTAGGAGAGACCACTGGTGGTGGATTCTTGGCCTCTTTTATGTGCAACAAGCAGTCCACTTCTTTCCATGCACCTCTTTCCTATGGCAAAAAGCATCCTTGTTGGAGCTTGGCTTACTATGCAGAATCTGGTGTCCAATCTCCCTCACCCTCTCCAATTTAGACTTTCATAGTAAGTCTATTCATTGACTTCCTTTCCTCCAAGGGATACTCTGCATAATAAATGGAAGTGTTGCAACTTTTTTTCCCCAATGAATAATGAGAAGCAAAGAGGCAGCCTTGCTTAGCCAGCTTTCCCTCAACTGTTCCAAAGGCTTGGTGCAGACAGCCTCAGCCCTCTGCTGAAGACAGTGTGATCTGTCAGGAACAGTACTGTAGTTTGCCACTGCAAGAGATTAACCTTTTTCCCACTAGAGAATAGGGCTATCTTATTTTGAACAATAGCCAAGTAACCTGGAAAAAATATGACAGAGAAGGGAAGAATATGACTCCAATAGAACAGCTGCTAGGGCTATTGAACTGTCTTGTAAATCATCCACCCTTAGCCATGCATGCCATCATTTCAATGCCACTGTGGAGCCATTTAACTATTAGTGTTCCAATCTAATAGGCTACCCTATTTTCAGAGCTAAACAGGAAAGAAGGGACAAGTTCCACAAGCAGAAATGCTCATGCAATTGTGCATTTTTGCATGTGGACCTTAGTGGTTCAATAAGGGTACACTCTCCCTGAAAATGGCACCTGTAGCAGTAGACTTCCCACTGTCAATTAGCAATTAAACATTGTTTTCACATAGAGCCTA